GTCACCACCGTTGTTTCTTTCCCTCAGGGCCGCAGAGGGTGTCACCACCCCCACCATTAGACTCAGGGTTCATAGATGAGTCGATCCCGACTAGTAGCCACCTCCATCATTGTCGTTTGGTCAGAAAATATAGCCACCGCCGCCGTCCGAGGAGGTAAGGGTGGTTCCGACGATCTAACTGTTGGATCGTCATGATTTTTGTATTAAAACACTCAGAAGATCATGGGTAAAAAAATTCCTCAACCAATTTTAAGATTTCGTATCCGAAAATGTGAGATTTGAGTTGCCAGATTTCACCGATGTTGCCGATCCCGATTTGCACTGTTATATACCGAATTGTGTAAAATTGACCGCACCAATGGACTTAAAAGGGTCGATTTAGGGGGTACGACCCAAGTCCACCGCAGAAAAACTCTCCGGGAGCCTCTACTGCCGTACACCGCCGCTGTTGGTGGCTGAAATCCAGCGAGGTGTCGTTTGTCAGGCTACCGACCTCAATTTGACAATCTGAGACCGTAGCCTAACTCCTTTTGACATACTAAATGCAATGGTGACCTCCATTCGTGCTAATTCCACTATGGTAAGAAGTCAACCGGTACGAGCGCACACGGTTCGAGGTAAAATAAAACTGAGTTGCTAAAGCTTAGAAATAAGAAAAAAGACTATCCTGACTCATTTTGATGTGCTGAATGAAATGGTCACCTCCGTTCAAACTAATTCCATTTCGTTGAAAAGTCAACCCATGCGAGTGCACACGGATCGAGGCGAATTGAATGGATTCGTTGATGTTCAGAATTGGATGTCTAGTGCTTCAATGGTTCTAGAGGATCATTCATAGCGCTTATGGCTTCTCCTGAAACTAGTTTCAAGGAAATATGCAGTGGGACACGACAAGCGGGTATTACCGGAACTGCTTATCTCATAATTGAGGCAAGTACAATATGATTAATGATAAGTAATTTAGAACATATGATATCCATGGGATCTGTTAATTATGAATTCACGAACTCGTAAAGGTAATTATGGAAGATAGAATTATGAGGATTTAATTAGTCCTTATAATAGAAATTATAAATTTTTACGATCCTTAATAAAAAGGATAAATACATTCTAAGAAAGGATTTCATTCTTTTATGACTATGCTAAATAAAAATAGCATACTAAAGGTTAATCTCACCCTCTGGATGAGTGTTTATTTACATAATTTAGTAGTAAAGGATGGTAAATTTGGGCGAGTAGAGAAATATGTTATAATTGGAAAGTAGGTAAGTATTAGTAGTTTACTTTTGTCTATGACACGAACGAATTTATTCTTCCGTGTTGCACAGAATTGTGAATATTACATGATTAATGAATGTTAGAATAAGAATGGTGTTTCTTGAATAATGTATGATGCTATGACTATTTTAAGATGTATGATGTTATGAATGTACTTATGGACTTTAAGTAGTAGTGGAATATTAATCTGCGAAAAGTCCGAGTCGAAGTCAAAGTCAACGAAAAGTCAAACATTCACAAAAAGTTAAATTTCATAGGAAATGGATAGAAATGCATAAATATGCATAACAAGATTAAAATTACTGTCATAATAAGAAAAGATGACAGTAAAATGATGTATAAAGAAATTATGATAAAAGACAAAAATAAACTAATAATGTTTGTACCAGCCTTCGTAAGGAAAGATTATTATGTTTATGAATGAAATGAAACCGTGAGTGAGTTAGTTTTGGTTAGCTACCCCACTCTCACTGGCTATGCATGCAACGGTACAACATGATGGGGCCCATAAGAAGTAAAAGACATGAAAATATGATACGACCAACGTTCCACAAGAGAGAACGGAAGTCATAAAGAAGTATGAAATGAAAGAACAGAAAATGTAATACGAAGGTCGTTCGGAATGTTAGAAAAGAATACGAACAACATAAGAATGAAAGTTAACTAAAATATAAAATACGAACGACATAAAAATGAAAATTGATGAAAGTACAAAATAAGAAAAGATGAAGCATAATACGATAAATGTTATGAGTGTTTAGAAATTGAGTTAGGAGGTATGATGTGAATGCACATATGGGTGTGCACTGTTATATGCTTTTTTTATGGCCTACTGTTACTTGCTGAGCGAAAGCTCATTACATTTGTTCGTGTTATAGGAAGCTCAAATAAGACACCGGCTCCCTGAAACCTGTATGATGGGCGTGCAAAAAAGGATGAAGCAGTGGGATGTGGGCAAGTGGGTAATGGGATCTACACACTATTGGTAAACGCTGCAAAGTGTTTAAAGTAAACCATATTTACGGATATGGTTAAGTTATGTAATGAAAAGTAAAGGTTATGTAATAGGTTATGTGATGTAAGTAAAGACCACGACACTATGAGGTTATGCTTAGCAACCTAAAGTCACAAAATACTTTTATGTACTCATGATGCTATGATGCAAAAGATAATTTAAGGTTATGTTCGCGTGGAAAAGGAAAAGGGAAAAAAATGTAGCTAAATATTCATAGGTATAAGTAGCTGATGTTAAGACATAAGTTAGGTACGTATGTAGTATTGATGACAAGAAGTAAGGGTCGTCACATCAAGATAATAAAGGATATGAGAAGAAAGGAGTGCATATGAGGTATATCAAGGTAATAAAGGTTATGTACGATGGAGCTATCGCAAGTGTGAGAACTACAGGAGGCTACATGGAAGAGGTTCCCATTTGGATTGGCCTTCATCAAGGTTCTGCTCGTAGTGCTTATCTTTTCACTATCGTGATGGACGAGCTGACAAGAGAAATTCAAGATGAGATTCCCTAGTATATGCTTTTTGCATACGATATAGTTTTAGTTGATGAACATAAGGATGGAATTAACCATAAGTTAGAACTATAGAGACAGACTCTTGAGACGAAGGGATTTAAGTTAAGTGGAACGAAGACTAAGTACTGCATTGTAGGTTTAGTAATTTGAGAGATTAGAGTGATGAGATTTCCTTGGATGGTGTGGTGATTGGGGCTTCTAGGAAATTTAGGTATCTTGGGTCCATAGTGCAGTGTGAATGGGATATAGATGAGGATATTGGACATAGGATTAAGATGGGGTGGGTTAAGTGGAAGAATGCCACGGGAGTTTTATGTGATGATAATATGTCTATTAAGTTAAAAGAAAAATTCTAACAATTCGTCAAGCTATGTTATATGATAGTGAATGTTGGGCTATTAAGAGACAACAAATATACAAGTTGAGTGTGATGGAGATGCGTTTATTAAGATGGATGAGTAGCCATACGATGATAGATCGCATACGGAATAAGTTATTCGTAGTAAAGTAAGTGTAGCACCAATAGAAGATAAAGTGTGAAAAAACCATCTAAGATGGTACATGCATGTATAACGTAAATCGTTAGATGCACCTGTTTGTGCTTAGGAGAACATCCAAATACCTAGTACTAAGAGAGGGATGGGTAGACTAAGAATTACTTAGGCTGACGTAGTTAAGCACGACTTTCAAGATTTAGGATTTTAAGAGGATCTCATATAGCCGACTCTAATTAATTTAGAATTAAGGCTTGTATTTATTGTGTTGTTGTTGACAGGAAACTAAAGAGTGCACAATATACCAACAACTAAATAACAGGATAAATATATGTATAATGTATACCCGAAAAACTGAAGGAATAATTTTAATTTAATATATCTATATATAAATATATATATATATATATATATGTATGTCTGTTGGTCTGTGTTGGTCTGTGGATGCGCCTCTATGTATACATATATATATATATATTTATGTGTGTGGGCTATACAAATATGTGTTATATATAGTTTTCTGACGCCTAGGAATTGGTGTGAAGTATAGGTATAGGTATGTTTCAGAGACAGCTTTTTTATTTACTGGAGGGAAAAGACACATTTGTGGGAAATTGTTTCTTCGGCTTTTCTTTCATTGACCTCTCTCCCTTTTCTCTTTTTCGGTTTTTCATGCCGACTATTCCAAACAACGAATTGAGTATACATATACATATATATATATATATATATATATTTATATATACACACACACAATTTTTAAACAGCAGCTTAGCATCCATGACTGATATTCAAGAAATTCAAAAAAACAAAAAACAAAACAAAACAAAACAAATTCAAGAAGAATTGCTACCAGATGAAACTCCAATCAAATTCAGAATAATTATCTAAGAATGAGGAGAGATCAATTTTAAATTGCTATCAGGATTAAGCATTGAAGATTCTGTATAGCCTCTCAAATATTTAAAAGAGGATATCCTAATTTAAGTTGGATTCAAAATCAACTTAAGAATAGGATCTAGATTATCTAAAAGCCAGAAGATTGCCATTATATGAAGAGATATTCTGCTGAAGGCTTTTCAGAAGAATATAGTAGTTTAAATCGGATAAAAGGATTCTGATTTGTTTCAAAAATCTGGATCAAGATTTAGGCACAGATAATACTACAACAGTTGTTACAAGATTCAAATTCTGAGATCTTTATCCGACATTTGAGTTAGAATTTCATGTTGCTCTATATTAATCTCAAATCATATGCGATTTGGGACTTCCGAGGTATCTACACACAGTGCTTTGAGAAATTCACATTTAACCTTCTTGGGGGAAGAATTGCGGTCTTGAGAGAGAAGACACTCCACAGATTGAAGGGAGTTCAACTATGTGTGCAGACAATGAAAACAAATGGTGCTCGCTGAATCGATCAAGTTATTACTACACAAAGGTAACAATTATAAAAAGGGAGTCTTTAGTGTTTACATCCATTAATGCTTGTAATTTGTGAAATTTAATGGATTGTTGAATAGCTGGGCATAGTCTTGTGGATATAGGTGTATACTCGAACTATGGAAAAATTGCATGTGTTCTTATTTTAAATTATGCTTTCAATAATTTGATTAATTTGACTTTAATTAAACTCAGTAAATTACTAAAACAGATCTAACATAAATTATAATGTCTACATATATATATATATATAGACGCACAATGGAGCTTTATTATATATTTAACTCTGGAATGATTTGGTGCTCCGGACATCATCCCTCGATCTAAAACACCTTATCTAAACAGTTTCCATTCTATGATTATTGATAATACTCTATAGATTAATTAATGTATCTACTTTTAAGACTCATCTTCACTCCTTAGAAACATAATCTGCTCTCTCGAACACAAGACTTCGACCAGCGCCTGGGGCGTCCAAAGCCGCCAACCTTTGTCCATTTTCAAACAAAGTACCAACAGCTCCACAAATAAACCTACAAGTAGGACACAGTTCAGCCGGACACCATTGTATGCTGTAGCAACTAGGACAGTCTTGTTCCTTCTTAATGTAAAAATAGTTGGCGAGGCCGCCTTCCCCCGCGGCGATCAACCTCCTTCCGGTCACCGGTTCGGTTTCTCCTACCTTCCACGCCGTCGACTGCACGCAGATCGTGGCGGCGGAGAATGTGACCTTAAAGTTCTTCCGTTCTCTCACCACTTTTTCTCTCTTTTCATAAGGCGCAAATGTTACAGGGATCCCATCCACCGAAACGTTTCGTTGCCCGACGTAGAGTGGGCACGGGTCGTTTCGAGATACCAAGGTGAAAGGACCGCCGGCCTCGGTGATGGCAGGCTTGATGTAGTACTCCACGCCACGCTGGAGAGGATTTCCAGAAGTGTCGAGGACAGGGGAATTACTCTGGGCTGTGGCTGCATTAATGGCCATTGAAAGCCATATACAGCTCATTAGGATTCCGATTAAGTACTTCATGTTCATGGCCTAAATTTTTTTTTTTTTTTTTGGCGTAGTGTTTTGTTGATATATTTCTGTGAGTTCGGGTTCTCAATTCTCGGTCTAGCATGTTATATATATACTACGATGTGTATGATGGGGTTAGGAGTCGTTTTTAAATTGTTTCTGTTTTTATTTTTTATATTTTTTAAAAAAAAATATAAAAATATTTTTAAAATGACGTTCGGTTTAATATAATAAAGATAAAAAAAAATAAAAATAAAAATAATTTTTTAATTTAGTATAAAATAAGATAAAAAATAAATTTTAATCGTTTTTTTTTTATTTTTATTTTTTTTCTCTAACAGAGAGAGAAATAGAGACATTAATAAGTTTTTTATACTAAAAATAATCTCTTAATAAAATTACCAAACGTATTTTTAAAAATAATTTTTATTTAAAATTAAAAATGTTTTTATTTTTATTTTCGTAAAAAAAGACCAAAATTACTTTAAGACGTGCTCATTATTTTGATAACACGTGGCAAGTGTCAAATCAAAGTCAATTATTGTTATCCAATTGAATGGATATTATTAAAGTGGCGTGAAGATTTGAAATACAATCAATTTAGTAGAGACAAGTACTTTTGCAAACCGAGGTTCACTATTGGCGGCCACTGGGGAGACGGTCACAAATCTAACCAAAATTTTGGGCCGAATTTTGACTAGGATGGCAATGTCGGAATCAACAAAGCAATCAAGAGTATGAACATGATTTCTTGTATTTACTTACGTATGTATAAATTAGCTTTTTTCTTGGCATGCATGTATTGATTCTTTCCATTACGTACGATTGTAACATGCAGGGACAAGAACCTAGCTACTTGATGGGTAGTCCTTTTTTTTCTTTTTTTTCTTTTTTTTTTTTTGAAGATTGTTGTTATAAATTCTATGTCCACAAAGTTTTGAAAACGTAAGCCGACCGTATAGTAAGATTTTTTTTGGATAACTCTGACATGGAAAAGTATGGTATTTTACAAGGCCTCAAATCACTGAAATGATATTTGGATTTATCTCTGCAATAGTTATGATATTTTACGACGCCTCAAATCACTGAAATGATTTTAGGGTGTATGATCGTATAATTAATTTTGGTTAGGGCTCGTTTTGAACTATAGGATAGAAAAATTGTTTACAGAAATTACAACAATTTTCTAAGCATGAAATCAACGAAAGATTAAAATAGTGATTGCGTTTTCTTTTCTTAGATTAGTAGACGTATACCATTAGAATTTAGAGATCTCTACTTTTGAGTGTGAAACGGAACCACGAAGTAGAGACAACAACTTGAGCCATCGGCAGCTGGAGGACTTCTGCCAATCAATCTATGACTCAAGGAAAGGAACATGCCAGCATAATCGAATCCCAACAGTCTTAACACTAGCTATTTAGCTAACGCTCATAAGGGGAGATTTTATTTGATTTTTTCCTCTGCATTGAGAGAATATGGTAGAGCAAATTGCTAATGTTTACTTAATGAAATGGATATTAATTAAGGAAATATTTTTTAAAGTAAAATAGAGCTAGGTTATTCACATTTTTTAAACAAATGATGAGAGAAAATAACTGATACTAGAGTGGCAAGCATATTGCAACTAGATTCAACCCACTAGCCAACTCATCCTCTATTAAACTCTCCACTCAAATTTTACGCAAAATAAAAAGAAAATTTCAAAAATAAATTGAAAGATCCGGCTCATAGGCAACAATCAAAGAAAAAACAATCTTGACTAAAAATCAACCGTTGTATCATATGAACTAAATGAACAGTTGTATCTTGACTAAATAACCTTGAGCGTGAGTAATTTTTTTCTTCAAACGTGCCCTCATGTACTTAAACATCAGTTTATTTTTGCGGCACTCTCAACTATGATTTTATTACATGCGCATCCTAAATAACTTTTTATCTAATTTATCTGTTAAAACATTTATGTCTCAAATATGTTCATGTCTATATATATTTATATGCTATTCAATCAAAAACATTTTTTTTTAATTAAAACGTGATTTTCACTTCAGTTTACTTAAATATTTTTTTCTTTATCAAACTAAACTCTTAAAGGTGTAATGAATTGAAGCAAAAAATAAAATCTTAATAATTTTAAATTCATATATTAAAGAATTTAATAAATATGCACGTGTGTATCATATTTCCAACTAGTTAATAGTATTTCAAAGAAAAAAAAAGGTTAATTAGTATTAAGAGTTTACCTTCTTGGGGTTTTAATATCTTTAATTCATGCCACTGAACGGGACTCTATAAGTTGGAAGACCACTAATGCCTCTAGATAATAATTTTAGATATTTATGGCTCGTTTGGTTAACGCGTTCAAGTCAGTAATTTTAATTCTAAACTCAAATTTTGTGAGAGAACCTATTGACGAGAACTTTTTTATTTAAATTTTTTTGTGAAAAAACCAGAATCAAAAGCATGATGTTTAAGTCCTAGAATCAAACGGGCGTAAATAGCAGCTTTTTTTAGTATTATGACTCTTGATCAATGATTAATTATTGGAAAAACGAATACTTTAGTTAGAGAATGCCCTCCAAGAATTGACGCTAACAGAATGAGTCCATATTATTCCAGAGAAGAAGAAATATATCCAAAATTAAAACGAAAAAATTATTACAAACACAAACGGCACATACATGAGCTAGCCAGCTATACGTAGTGGTCCATTTATTACAATTAACACGAACGACACACAATGACGGACCTTTATTTATAACTCGTACATGAGCTAGGTGTATATCGATTTATTACAATTAACACAAATTAGCGACTATTGCTTCTTCTCCGACTTGGGACATAAAATTATTTATCATTTTAAGCTCTTTCAAATACAACTGGAAGCGCAGAACCATCCAAAGCCAACAACCTTTTTCCATTCTCAACCAAAGCCCCAAGAGAGAGCTGAACCGAAAGCCCCCGTCCAGCTACAAGGAATTTCTTACGCGAGTGCAAGGATACATCAACGCTGAGGAGGCAGACGCAAACGACCCCGAGCACAGGTCCAACAAAAACAAAGGGACCGAACAAGGGTCGACGCCAGCAAAGCAGGATGAGAAGAAGCGTCAAGGTGGAGGAAGCGGAGACAAGCAGCCAGCTGCGACGTCGAGCGCTCCGGAAGCCAAGAAGCCAAGGCAAGAGGAGAACCGTAAGCCTCGGCTGTTCCAAAGGTACGATTCCTACCGTGAACTAACAGTAGGAGTCAAGGAGGTCTTCAATCAGGTCGGCCGCGGAAACCTGCTATGCCGCCCGGAGCCAATGAGGACAGATCCCAGCCGAAGGAACCAGAAGAAATTCTATAGGTTCCACGGCGATGTTGGCCACCACACCAACGACTGCGCCAACCTCAAGGATGAAATCGGGAGAGTAATCCGCTAGGGGAGGCTATAGGAGTTCAAAGCTGAGCGGCGACCTCAAAATGATGGCCACGGTGGGCAGAATAACGGTCGATGCTGAGAGGAAAACCAACGACCAGAGGACCGAGAACCTGTCGGCGTCATACAGACTGTCCTCGGTGGCCCCTATATAAGAGGATACTCAAGGAGATCCTAGAAGGACTACGCCCACGACGCCAGAGGGGTTTACCAGGAAAGATTCTAGAGTGTCTCCGCTGCAAAAATCCCAAGATATAGCAGTGCCGACGTGGCGTTTAATGAGGACGACGCCAGCGGAGTTCACTTCCCCCATAACGACACGTTAGTAGTGGAGGCCGTGATTGGGAACCACACAGTATGCCGAATCCTGGTAGACAATGGGAGTTCGGTGGACTTCCTGTACTCTGACTGCTTGGAAAAGATGGGGATCCGAAAGGAGCAGTTGGAGAAAACCTCCAGGCCATTATATGGTTTTACCGGGAACTCCGTCATCCCTCAGGGGACTATCCGGTTGCCCATAACTGCCGGAGAAAAATCCCGACAAACCACGATAATGGCCAACTTTATGGTAATAAAGGGAGGCTCTCAATACAATGCTGTAATCGGAAGACCGACCCTTCTGGCGCTGAGGGCAATAACCTCCATCTACCACCAGAAGGTAAAGTTCCCTACCCCAAACGGCGTAGGTGAGATGAAGAGCAACCAGTACGAGGCTAAGGTTGCATACTCTGATGCCCTGCGCGGATACGACCAGCCAAGACGACAGGAGGCGAGGATGGTCTACCAAAACACCGTTGAAGACATAGACCCCAGGGTTCAAGAGGAGGTCACATGGTCCCAACCCATCGAGCAATTGGTGGAGATCCAAGTTGATGAAGGCGAGCCAACCAAAGTACTAAAAATGGGCTCAAACCTAGCCCCATCACTAAAGATTAAAATCGAAGACTTCCTCAAAAAGAACTTAGATATCTTCACCTGGAACCATGCTGACATGAAAGGGATCGACGCCGAGGTTATATGTCACTCCCTGAACGTTGACCCCTCATATCCTCCCAAACGCCAGAAGCATCGACCAATGAACCCAGAGAGGTATGAGGCGCTAAAAGAGTAGGTCGATAAATTGATCAACAACGGGTTCATCAGGGAGACCCATTACCGGCGTTAGGTCTCAAACCCCGTTCAGGTGGTCAAGCCTAACGGAAACTGGAGAACATGCGTCGACTTCAGCGCTCTCAATAAAGCCTGTCCGAAGGATGGCTTTCCACTCCTTCGAATAGACCAGATGGTCGACGCCACAACAGGACATGAAATGCTGAGTTTTATGGATGCTTACTCTGGGTACAACCAGATCCCCATGCATTCGGCCGATGAGGAGCACACATCCTTCATAACCGATATGGGCCTCTACTGCTACAAGGTGATGCCTTTTGGCCTAAAGAATACGAGGGCTACCTACCAAAGGCTCGTGAATAACATGTTCACTCAACAGCTCGGTAAATCAATGAAGGTCTACATCGACGATATGCTTGTGAAAAGCGCCAGGGCCAACCAACACGTCGACCATCTGGGTGAAATGTTCAGTGTACTAAGAAAATACCACATGAAACTAAATCCCTAAAAATGCGCCTTTGGAGTTGGGTCAGGGAAATTCCTTGGTTTCATGGTCAGCAACCGGGGGATA